AACTTGGACTCAGAATACCATTGTTCCATATCCAGTTTTGTTCCCAGTCCCTCACACTGCCTGTGGACATTCTTCCAGAGACAATTTTAATGAGGTGGGTTATCTAGTTCCCAATAACCCGTCTCCTTGGCTGGGGAACTGGGGAGTTATTGGTGGTGAGGGAGCAGAGCTGATAACAGACACACTGATAACAGCACAAAGTGACAGAAATACATAGGAGCAGGTGGCGGGTATTTAGTGTCAGAACAAACAATAAAGTGGGACCCTACAGTCATCAGTATTTTAGAGCCTAGCATTGTATTTAATCATAATATGACCCTGAGTCATGAAAACTCAAAATTATATCCTATTTTATAAGGCAGGAGTGAATAATACTTTTTAGAGTTACATAAAACATCCCTTTCAAATTTGCAAATAAGTCCCAAGTTACAGAGAAGAATTGATTCCAAAGCATGTTCAGGAGATGTCTCGGGGTTGCCATGGGGGAGAGGGGATTTCTCTTCGTCTTGATGCAGCTTGTCTTTTATCTTTTATATGTTGATTTCTGCTTAAAAGTCCATTAAAGAAAAAGAACATTAAAGAATTCAAATGCTTTAAAAACTATTTGAAACTGAACATTCTAGAAATTTCAGTAGTGCAGAATTTCATTCCTTGATGATTCCTGAAGGATTGCTATGTAACTGTCACTCACATACAGTCCCAGTAATAGACACACCACGGGCCTTGGACAGAGAAAAGGGGCGCTCGTGGCCACAAGCCTACTCCCCACAGACCCACAAACAGCTGGCCACCCCACTCTGTGCAGGAGCAGCTGTGCATGAAGGCAACTTAACTGGGCCAAGGTGGAAGGGGTAGGCACGAAGAAGTGCAGGGCCTTCCCTGCACACCTTCGCCAGGTGACCCAGCTGGATACCGCATGGCCCAGCAACTGCCTCCATTGCCCGCCCACTTGTGTAAAAGGACATGGAGTGGGTCAGTAGCAAGCCCTCCAAAGGGAGTGATGGAAGAGGCTCGGAAGGACTCGGCTAAAACAAGGAGACAGAGAAGCACAGGAGTGCAGTGGGATGGAGGAAACAGCTGCCAGGCTGCTGTTACGATATTAAGGGGCTGCTCTGTGTCTGGACCACAGAGGAGACAGGCTTAATTAACCAGGACATCCCTTCGGGCAGTTGATCTGACCTAGAAGCATCCAGAGGCAGCCCCATCCAGGACTCAGCAGGGCAGACAAAGAGAACCCAGTTGGAGGTTTCCTTCGTCCACACAGCAGAAGCAACCTGTTTTGTCTGAGTGGAGCCTGGGGCCCCCGTGGGGCTGAGAGGGTCCCCACTTGGCACCCTGTCCACAGGTCCAGCAGTCACGTAACCTCATCCAACAAGAGAGACTGTACAGAGATCTGTTTGCTGTGCTGTCAGCATCGCCACGGAACGTTCCAGCACTAGTTCCCCAGCCGTGAGCACAAGTTGCTCCTTATGTGTGCCAGCTCCTCAGGTGGGGACAGCTTCCTCGCCCTGCGGCATCAGGATTTCAGTCACCAGGAGCATATGTTCCTAGTATGCGATTCATTCATTCTCGTGTTCCCTGTAGCTGATTTCCACTCACAAAACACAGAACGCTTGGAAATGGCTTTTGCCAATAACAGCATGATTGTTGAGGCCCAAGACAGCATCACGTCACCCTTTATTCCCTGAATACGGGTACATTTTACGGAAAACTTAGGCCAAAATAAATGCCTCTTTCCCGCCTGGCTCTGTTCCCTTTTGTTGGAAAGGGCAGAAGCCTGATCTGAGCTGCATTTCCGTCAGGAGGTCTTTCCTGCTGGCCACATCAGCTTTTCACAGCAAGTTGCCTGGTATTGTTGTGGGGGTAGCACACACGTCTGGCTTGGGTTCGTTCCCAAGTACTGCTGAGTTCCTACACCAAGGATATTTCTGGGTGCTGAGAAGACAGGAATATAAGACCCAGCCCACCCTTTCAGAGCCTGCAGTCTGATAGAGGAGGTAAGACAAGACAACAGGTTAGCAACTGAGGCAATGAATGTTTCTGGAAAATCGATGGCGCAGTAACATGTGCCTTAGTAGGCCCCGATGTGGAAGATCCTGGAAGCTGGAGGAACTCGGGAAAACACGTGGCGTGACTTGAACCTTGAAAGATGGCTAGATTTTTTTTGGAAGGGAGAGAAACTGTGAGGTTGGCACCACAGTCACTGGCAACGTTGCAGGTTTTGGTCAAAGTGTGCGGGGTGAGGACTGACCTCAGAAAAACTAAGGGGGTTGGGGGGGGAGGGGCAGGTGGTGAGAAAAGCTGTGCCCAGCTGTGCCTCCACATACAGGTCCCGGTGGCCTCCCAATGCTGACGGCACTGGGAGCCCTGCCCAGCCCTTGGCAGGCAGACACCAAACGCCTTTCCAGCTCCCGCCCAGTTGTTCCCTCCCTCCTTTTCGCCCTGAATTTCCACCCCGCCCTCTTCATCTTACAAGCCCCCATCCACATGACTCTCCTCTTTCTCTGTGCTCCCGCCCTACCCCCACCCCCCAACTGATAATCCTGCCTGTTCATCAAAGCTTAACTCACCCAGAAGCCTGATGCACCCACCCCAAGTGGCATTCTTTGCTCCCCATGCTCCCAAAGCAGCAGCGTGTCCTTCAGTCACTGGCCTTTGTGGCAGCCACCACTGCGCCAGACAGAGGACCCTCGAGGCTGGACTTGGGGACTCATTAGCTGGGTCGAGTGTGTGTGTATCCACCCGCTGGGCTTGCCCCCAGTATCACTGGGGGTGTTTTTAAAGTGTTTCCAATTGATGTGCTTGTGTTGTAGAAGACAGATGCCACTTAGTGGCCCAGTTAGGTGGTTTGCCCCTTGAGTGAGCAGGACGGAGGACTCTGAGCTTCCAGCTCTTTCCCTCTGGGTCTCCTTTAGCCTAACCCAGCATCCGCTCCATTCAAAGAGCAGTGACTCAAGGCTCTAATCTGGGGAGAACTGCAAACCAAAGAATGCAAGGCCACTTCCTGGCCGATTGGGAGATCCTGGCAGGGTTGTTATTGTGGCAGAGCGTGTGTGGGAGTGGGGTGTGGTATGCAAGTCAGGAGCTAAACTATGGGGTCCCCGAGGGCCGGTCACAAACAATCCCTTTCTCTACCTTCAGGGAAACTTTTTTACCAAACATAGAAACCCTTTCTCTTCCTGTGTGAAATGTCCATTGTTCCCTCAGTAGCCCTGGAGAAGAAAGTGATGCTCTGAGTGGCTTAATCATCTCTGGGTTCGTGGAGTTGGAATTGGGCATCCTTGTTCTCACACTCAATTTAGAGTATGTTCATCTAACTTGTGTTTTCGTCTAACCTGAATTGAAACCGTCTGGAGCCACGATTCAGCCTGTTGCATGGGATGGTTGGACGATGCAAAGCATGTGCTGACGCCCCCGGCTTCTTGTCTTCCTCCTTTGTTCAGCTGCAGTCTGAGCAGAGGAGGAGGTGTGCAAGCTTGGAGACATTACCACGTACCTTTCCACCCGTTACATTTGAATGTTGCTATGGCAACTGATAGACCCTAGAAGCAGCCCCAACTATTGTTTCTTTCTTATGGTGGAAGAAAAAAATCCACGATTGCCACCTCAGTGGTGTTTGTACACAAGCAAGACAAGGGTTTGGAGCCCGGAGGGTAGAATATTTGGTGCACAGTTGGTGCATTTAGTTCTCAAGTGGACAGGGCTAGCCACATTGGCCGTTTCAGGTGGTGGATGACCGCAGGAGCCCGCTGAGCTGGGCAGGAGCACTGTGGGCACAGAGGCAGAGCAGTAAGTGACCGATGGGCACAGAGGCAGAGCAGTGTCTCTGCTGGTGGGTCGGGCAGGTGTGCACGTGGCGTTGGAGGGCCTGGCCAGCACGCTCCCTTGGTTCTGCTGCCAGCCTGCATCATGGGCCTCAAAGCAAGGTTCTCTCTAAGCGGGTGAGACAGGTGGCAGCCAAGTGGCCTTGGGCAATGAGTCTGCTCCTAGAAACCATACAAAGTGAAGAAGCCATCCAATGCCAGGAAGGTTTATAGGAGATGCAGCTGGGGAGAGTGGAAGAAAGAGTACCGGCTTTGAGGACCAATTGACCTAGGGACCCCTGCTCTGCCCCTGACCTCTGCGAGGCCTTGGAAGTGTTACATAGCTCACCAGTCTTCAGTTTCCTCATCCAAAAAGGGAAAGTAAGTCCAGCTCTGTAAGAGTTGTTGTGGGAATTAGAATGTACTGCCGGCCCTCCGTATCCGTGGGTTTTGGTATCCACAGGGGATCCTGGAACCAATCCCCCTTGCATACGAAGGAATGACTGTATATAAACATCCACTGTGACTAGGCAGTGCATAGTAGGTACTCATTAATGTTACTAATTAAACTAATAACTGGAAGACAGGGCACAGACCTAGACTTATTCCCAGCATCAGGACCAACTGGAAGCTTTTAAAAATTCTTACCTAGGCAAGGTGTACTGGGTCAGAATTTGCAAAGATGGGACCGAGCAATCTATATTTAAAAAAAACAAAACCTTCCCTAAGTGATCCTGATGTAGCCAGTCTGTGATTCTGGATAGGAAATTCTCTTCCTTGAAGATAAAGAGTATAAACAGTGCTGGATTTCCCCCTCTTTCTACTTCCACAAACCCCAATCATGCTACCTTTATTCTCCTACTAAACTCCAAAGGCTTCTGCCAAACTTATCTGTGTTTGGAAGCAGGGATGTTTGATAAAGTAGCTAAAGGGAATTTAATGAGGAAGGCAAAGAAAAACTGAAAAGCAAAAGTTGTTCAACTTGCCCCTGAAGGGCGTTGAAAAGAATCTCTACAGAAAGCTGTGTGCAGCCTCTAGGTGGCGACCAGACCCTTTTGGCTATCTAATGGGTTATAAAGATGACGTTTAAGGTGGCTTATACAATATGCTTAAGTCTTACATAGGAGTTTAACGTGCCTAGAGCTGAAGTTTTGTGTTTATTTTGTTTGCTTGTTTGTTTTTTTGTGCACCCCACAGGAACGTGGCTAAAGAGTGGCCTAGGCCTCGTGCACCAGGAAGGCAGCCAGCTGACGTGGACATACATTGCCCCTCAGTTGGGGTACTGGGTGGCAGCCATGTCTCCTCCCAAACCAGGTAACACGAAGCCAGAACCCGGGGTCATGGGGCAGGAATGTCTTGGAGGAATCCAAGCTTTTGAAAATAACTTCAGCGGGCACACGACATCTTAACTCAAAACTGAGAGTCTGAAAAACCAAATGATGAACCTAAGGTATTTCATGGGGTTGGAGGAGTTCTGGTTGGAACTTTCCCATCTCGGATAAGAATAACGCGTAGAAAATCATCTTGTCTTGTGTCTCCGTGTTTCTCAGACAGCTGCCATAGGAAATTCTTAATCTAAAGCCCTCAGAGGCGGTGCAGACCTCCTCCCTAATTCCTGAAAACAGCTGTGGCCGGGTGTAAGAGAACATATAGGGAAAGGCATTCATTCAATATGGACTCACAGAAAGTCATCCTTGACGGCTCCTTGGGGCAAAAAGCTCTGTTTGGCATTTCCCAAAGGCTTCAAAGCCAACCAATTGTTTTGTGTCTAGAAGAAAATTCATTTACATTTAGGAAATGTGAATGAACTTGTATTTTTCACAGTGTGACTGGAAGTTTATTTATTTTTTTTATTCCAGCATAAAATTCTGTATTCCAGAATTGTTTTTCAAAATAGTCACCTAGGGAAAATTTCTTGCCATGATGGCTGTGTTGCTCAGAATGCCTTTCGAATCCGTATCACTCAGACTGCCTTCGTTAGTAAAACTTTTCGCTGGCGGCAGATCTTTAGGCTCAGAGGGTGCCTTTGATTTGTCTTAGGTACATCTTAAGAGTCCCAGTCTGGTGCATACAGTAGATGATTGAGCCTCGGTCAAAATGTGTTACGATTGAAAGGTATCTCATAAATTAGCCATGAAGGCAGTTCCAAAAACGGGAGTCCAAAATATTTTAGTCATGGATTTGTCACTGGAACAAACAGTGCGATTCCCAAAGTAAGCAATTTGATGGAGGCCATTCCTAGATGGGTGTTGAAAAAACTGTCACCGTTTGCTTTACATTCCCCTACTGAGAAAATGTACACGTCCCGTCTGTGTTTGGAGAGTATGTGTCTCCCTTTATGGTATTTGTTCTTGTAACAAGATAGGCATGAACCAGGTACAGAAATGCCTCAGTCTGCAAGTCTGAAATATCTAGAAAAGGATGAAGAGTAAGGAAGGAACGAAAAGAAATTCCTTAAGTACCAAAGCAGAGGCCACAAAGCCCATGCATTGAACTTAACTGTTTCAGAAACCCTGGCTCTCAGTTTCCCATCATGCAACAGATAAATAAGTACTTTGGTAAAGAGGTGAGCAAGAAGTCCTGGGTGCAGGTCCACACGCTTCCTAGCAATGAGGGAAGAGGGGAAAAGCTGTGAAAAGCATGCATAGCATGGCCCCCTCATTGCATTTCATGTAGAAACACACATGTTGGTAACCTCACAACCATCGCTTTTATTAAAACAAATTACAATGATGCTATGCCTCCTTCATGAGCCCAAGACCACCAAGAAAATAATTAGGGCTTTCCTCTTGAATTCTCCGGTCAAGAAGGAAATGAAGCATGGCTGTGAATTTTGTAAAGATCTCCACTGGCAGAAGTTAAAATAGTCACGTTTTAAATACGTAAAGGAAATGAGCTTCAGTTATTTGGAAATGGTTTTTATGTGTACCCCAGATTTCTTGGTGATCCCTGCCAAGGCTTTGCCTATGCCTGTGGAGGTTGGGTAAAAAATTGTTTCTCTGAATGATTAAGGCAGGAAGTAGCTGTCAGATAGTTTTCCAACTTGTGTAAATATTAAGTCCACCCCACTGAAGTGAATTTATTTGGGAGAGAGTGGTGTTCTCTTTTGAGCTTAAGTAGTGTCACTATTTTTGAAAAGCTAGTTAAAACCTCCTTGGATTTATCAAGCTTTTACAAAATATGTCTCCTTCCAAAGACTTTTGAAGAAATCCAACCCTTAGAATATCAACAATCAATAAGTAAACGGGTGTTTATGGTCTTTACTCATCAGAACCATGCTACTCTGGAAACCACATTCCTTCCTTCCCACCTTGGGTTCACTGCCAGGACACCTGAGCACCAGGAAAAGCCCAAATACCGTAATCTGCGGAGGTTTTTTTTTGTTGCTGTGCATCTCTTGTCAGTGACATTACATACATTCTTACAACTATTGAACGCAAAGAGTCTCAGTTGAAGTACCTCTTAGGATTCTTTACAATGTAAATGAAAAAGAAAGTCTGTTTATCTATGATGACCTCCTCTGTGGCCACGGAAGGTGAGTCACTTTGAAAAGATACTGTAGAGGAAGGTTTTATTTTTGAAAATGGAAAGCATTTTAGAAACACTTGACGGCCCTGTAACAGGCTGTGGATGTTTTTTTAAGTAATGGTCCATTTCTTTCATACATCTCAATGGATTTCCTTTAGGCAAAGGGATCGCCACGCGGCCATAATGACCACCCAGCAAAAGTCAGAATAAAATCTTGTGATTTTTGTCAGGCCATCTCTCTGAGAGTAAGAGCCCCACTCATTATATTATCATACATGCATTTTTTAATTAAAAATCAGGTGTTTATAATGCCGAACGAATGTGGCTCTCTGCTAAGGAGGGACCCTTGACACACTGCGTGCAGTGTTTTCGTATTCAGAGTGCTGCTGGCTACAGCTGCTTTGGTCATGGTGATGGTCACCCCTGCTCACTGAGTGACATTATGATGATCATCTAAAGGATGTTTGCATCTGGCCACTGCTCCAGGTCCTAGCCAGAAAGAGTTAAGAAAAACATTACGTTGTCATTCATTATCCCTCTCTCTAAAGGTGTTCGCAAATCTAAAATGCCCTTTTCTGACCTTCTAGGTCCCGTTGTCACACAGGACATTACCACGTATCACACGGTGTTTCTTTTGGCCATTTTAGGAGGAATGGCTTTCATACTTTTGGTTTTGCTGTGTCTCCTTTTATATTATTGCAGGTAACGTTTTACTATTTTGGCAATCTCTTTTATCATTTGGAATTTCTTGTGCAAGCATTGATATGGAGGTCTTTGTTTCTTCTGTCTCATGAGAAAATATCTAAGAATTGAGCATTTGTCATCTAACTTGCAAAAGAACAAACAGGACATGGGAAGCATGCTGTGTATAACGTTGCTTAGAAGGGGAATTATATTAAAAAGTTTGACAGTTGTCCTATGATTCATTCAGAATATTCCTAAACACTGATTAAGAGATGATATTCTCAAGGTCAAAGCGGAACTGTTCTATCTGTGACGCCTCCTCTATTTGGTTGGTGAGAATGCTATTGTCGATTCTTGGTTAACCACTTTTGAATAAACACCTCAGAATATACTTTTAAGAGCCTGAGGGTGAAATACGCGGATTGTGTGCTGCTCTCAATCAAAATAAGGCTGAGGGCATGGGGCAAGCAGGCTTCTGGCTGCCAGTTAGCTGTTGTGTCTTGTTTCTTCCTGTGGAAATTGAGAATTAGGATTTTACTTGAAACTTGACCATGACGAAACTCTTTTAATCTTTGGGTTTGGATTGTCTCTTTGATCGCAGGCGGAAGTGCTTGAAACCTCGTCAGCACCATAGAAAACTACAGCTTCCTGCAGCCCTAGAGAGTTCCAAACGAGATCAGTCCACATCCATGTCACACATCAACTTGCTGTTTTCCCGTCGAGAGTCAGAATTCCCGGGCCCGCTGTCTGTCACCAGCCATGGCCGCCCGGACGCCCCAGGCACAAAGGAGCTGATGAGCGGGGTCCATTTAGAAATGATGTCTTCCAATGGAGAAGTGGACATGCACACACCCATGCTGAAGCTTTCCTACAGCACCTCCCAAGAATTCAGCTCTCGGGAGGAACTCCTCTCTCATAAGGAAGAGGATAAAAGCCAAATCTCCTTTGATAACCTGACACCAAGTGGGACGTTGGGGAAAGACTACCATAAGTCCGTGGAGATTTTCCCCTTAAAGTCCAGGAAATCCATGGAAAGAGAAGGCTATGAGTCCCCTGGCAGCAGTGACTACAGGAGGAGTTACAATGCCATGCTGTCGCAGCCTTTATTTGAGAAGCAAGACAGAGACAGTCAGGCCTCCGTTAACCATATTTCCACAGGAAGTAAGCTCACCATTCAGGAACACATGTACCCCACGCCTTCATCTCCCGAAAAAGAACAGCTGCTGGACCGCAGACCTACTGAATGTATGATGTCACGCTCCGTAGACCACCTAGAAAGACCTACGTCTTTTCCGCGGCCCGGCCAGTTGATCTGCTGTAGCTCCGTGGACCAGGTCAATGACAGCGTGTACAGAAAAGTGTTGCCCGCCTTGGTCATCCCCGCTCATTATATGAAACTCCCCGGGGACCACTCGTATGTGGGCCAGCCCCTGGTCGTCCCCGCTGACCAGCAGCTCGAAATTGAAAGACTGCAGGCGGAGCTCTCCAGCCCCCACGCAGGGATCTTCCCACACCCCTCCTCTCAGATCCAAGCCCAGCCCTTGTCGTGCCAGGCAATCTCCCAGCAGCACTTGCAGGATGCAGGCAGCCGCGAGTGGAGCCCGCAGAACGCGTCCATGTCGGAGTCCCTGTCCATCCCAGCATCCCTGAATGATGCGGCCTTGGCCCAGATGAACAGCGAGGTCCAGCTCCTGACGGAAAAGGCTCTGATGGAACTCGGTGGCGGGAAGCCGCTCCCACACCCGCGGGCCTGGTTCGTCTCTCTGGACGGCAGGTCCAACGCCCACGTCAGACATTCCTACATTGATCTCCAAAGAGCTGGAAGGAACGGGAGTAACGATGCCAGCTTGGACTCGGGCGTGGATATGAACGAACCAAAATCGGCCCGGAAGGGAAGAGGCGATCCCTTGTCCCTCCCGCAGAACCACCCGCCCGTCCAGGAGCGTCCACAGAAGGAGCCGAGGGCGGCGGACGCCACCGCCTACACGCAGCTCGTGTATCTGGACGACATGGACCAAAGCGGCAGTGAGTGCGGCACCACCGTCTGCACCCCCGAGGACAGTGCCCTGCGATGCTTGCTGGACAGCTCCAGCCGGAGAAGCGGCGGCCAGCTGCCCAGCCTGCAGGAGGAGACGACCAAACGAACTGTGGACAACCCCCCGGAGCCCTTAGCCAGCCCCGATCAGAGAAGACCTGCTCACGAGGACGACGAAGATGATGACGACGATGACCAAGGAGAGGACAAGAAGAGCCCCTGGCAGAAGCGGGAGGAGAGACCCCTGATGGCATTTAACATTAAATGAGCGACCGCAGAGCCACACTGCAGTGGAATCTAACAAACTTGCCAAAAATTCTCATGGAAGCACTTCCGTGTTTGTGGAGGAAGTTGACCAACGGCAGCCGTGGGCCGTGGATGTTGCCTGCATTACCGTTTGCTGTGTGAATGTTAGAAAGGAATCACAGCTAGAACTCGGAAGAAAGGATGATGGTGATGGATGCCACACCGCCAGGGAGGTGGCCGAACGCAGCGTCTCAGCAGTGTCCTTCCACGAGCTTGGTGTGTCCCCCCCCGCCCCCCCCCCAGGACACTGAAAAACCGCAAGTGATGTTGCTGGGTTCTGACGATAACCTCAATTCTCCCTCAGATTCCCGGAACAGATGAAACTCTTCTTTGCATTGCTTGAATCAGTTTTATCACGATAACGCTCCTGTGAAGTTCCGACTGAGAAAGTAGCTTGGCACCTAGTATTCCGAGGTATGCATCACCTCAAAGGAAAGCTATGCATCGCTCTTCGTGCTCTTACTTTGCTTAGATTTCTGCTTTGCTTGGGTTTTGTTTCGGGGGCGGGCTTCGTTTTTGGGGTTGGTTTTTTTTAACCCAGTTTGGTTATCAAGATTTTATTCCTTCGTTTCATCTGGTCTGCTTCTCGGTTTATTTCGGTGTCTCCTTTCAGGAACTCCTAAGTGTCATCTCTTAACATCCAAGCCTTTTAAAGAAATCATACTGAAATTTTGTATCAGCTGAGAATCCTTCAATTCTGATCCCATAAACTCCAAGTGCCTTTTTTACAGCAACCACAGACAGTCCCTCACTTTTCCTCTTTGTTTTTTCTTAACTCCCGTCATGGAACTGCCTGGATTTTATACAGTTATTAAGGGATACCCCTTTTCTTTAAACTGCATGCTGCCAAGTGCCCGTTTATGTGCAGAACTCTCATTCCAGTTGCGGTGTACTCTCTAGTTCTCCTGTGTGACGTGGGTTCTGTTTAGCTAAGATAGACTAGCGGACACTTTAATGATTCCCCCCTACACCGTCCCTTTGGCCACTAGCCACCATTATGGTTTTATTGGCTGTTTGTATATACGGTTACATATTAACTCTGGAATCCTATGGGCTAATCTTGCTCTTCCCAACACGGAGTATGGACTGAGCAAGTGGACTGAAGGTGACTATTAAAAAAAAAAAATCTTATGTGCTATCCAAAAGTGCCAGAATGACTCTTCTGTGCATTCTCCTTAAAGAGCTGCTTGGTTATCCAAAAATGAAAATTCAAAATAAACTCTGAAGAAAAAAAAAAAAAGCTTCCTTGTGGTTCTTTTTCATTCATTCTGTGCCATTATGTGTTGCCAAGTTGTTAAGAATTTGCGGTTCCTTCCTTGTCAGACTTATAGCCAAAGACCACCACATAGACACCTAGGAATAGGAATGTATGCTATGGTTAAAGTCCTTAAAACCCACTTCTGCATCTAGTTTTATGCAAGAACACAAAATAACATTGTGTCGTGTTCCAGCTAGGGAGCGATGTCTACACTTCACGAGAAACTGGTATTTTCTTTTATGTTCAGTATTGATCCACCTTGGAACAGCTTCAGAGAGACCTCATTAAAATGATCAGAACTACCCCAGATGTGTAAAACGATTCATCAAAATCATGAATGGAGACGTCGGAACATAGAAGAGGTGGATGGAAAGAAATCAAGCTAGCTAGGATACAGTAACAGCTTCCTTACAAAATCTTTATTTGTGGATTTCATGCTGGCAGAAAACCAATAAGGCTGATGTTTTAAATTTTAATTCTAAAATGTTGATGTTTAGTATTTTGCTTACAAGGGGGAAACTGGTTGAGAGATTTCCCCACAGTGTTGGGGCAGCTAAGTGAGTGAAAGTATGTTGTTTAACATGTGAGAACCATTTGGAAGTGAACATTCTCACCGACAGGTGGCAGGTGAACCCTTGCAGACTTAACTTAGACTTCAGGGAGGGGCCATTTGTCAACTACCCTCCAAAGCAGAAAAGGTAAGTGGCCTCTCCAAGAGTCCCCAGGTCCAGACCTAGGTGACGGGGGAAATGCTGGGAGATCCTCAGCTCTTTGCAGCTCTGCCTAAAGTTGGTGCCAGTGCAGTCACCTCCTTAAAGCATCAGGTTCGAGAAGAACACATCAGTACTGATTACGGGAGATCCAGCAAGAAGATTGGGGGCAGGAGGGCTTTTCTGACTCTGCCTTAAGCTGGACAGACCTGCCATAAGGATGGAAAGTGCAGAGCGGCCAGTAGTGGTCAGAAGACACTGTGAGCCTAGTAAGACAGGATTTGCCAAAGGGAAATTGGTTCTGCCAAAGACTGAGCTTAACTCATTTTATTTACACATTGCCAAAATGAGGCGCGGAGGTTAACGTTTTTGCTCAGGGTGCCAACATTGATCACTAGACTTGAATTGTCTGCATGGAACACCCTGACTGCGGACTATAAACATTTCATTTATCTTCTCTCTAGCCTGGTAAGGGTTACATATGTACAGTGTTCCAAATCAATTATGTTGTCTGAAGAACTAAAGCCATTGAAGACATCTTGTTTATGCCACCTAGTGGTGAGTTTTCACCTGCCTGTTAATTAAGGAGACTTACGTCTGGACAAACAGCTTATCCAGGGCAAGCTTTGGGAAGACAGGATGGGGGTGCCAGGGGTGACTCGGACCTGTTTCTGCCCTCCAGGTAAGGAGATGGGGACTGGCAGTCTGTTGAGTCTCTACCCTGGAAAGGATATATTGAGAACAATGATGCATTCAATGCTCAAAATCTTATGAGGAAGGTGTATTTATTTCTCTTTGTTTTACACCTAACTCAATTGAGGTTTGGGGGTTAAGTAATTGAGGCCACTCCACGAGGAGCAGGATTATGCTGCTTAAACAGCCAGCTCTCTGGAAATGGACGCATTTAAGCTATAAATGTCCCTGATAAAGGATGTGTAGGATTCAACTGACAAATCCTAATAAAGTATATCATTGTAAATTCTATTTGACAGTTGTTCTCACAGATTGCTTTCGTCAATTTTTGTCATACCTTTTATGGCAATTGGCAAACAGTTTTAGCTCTGACATGAACACGGATGAATATTTTTGTACGTGAATGATTAAGATGAAACCAACAACGAAGACGCCTGTTGGAACATCACCCGTTTGTCAGTCACGTCATGCCTTCTTTGCTGTGTCAGATAATAGTTTCTGAATACTGGAAAAATGTTTCTTTTTTGTGCTATTCACAACATAATGGGTCTAGACATTATATAGTTCTAAGTTTAATCTGCATTATTAACATTTTCTCCATCTCTATCTTAAACCTAGGCAGTCAACTCATCAATCCTCGGTTTGTGGCATTGCCAGTTGCCATGGTGTAAATACTCCCATGTGGCCAGTTTCAAACAACTGAAGTGACATGACTGCACTCGAGAGTTGGGAACAGAGGCATTGTAGCACACAATTATATTTCCACCAAACAGATACAATAAAGGTAACCTCAAGAGCATATCATTTGTGGATTCCATATGTGCGAATCCTCCTACTTGCTAAAATTCATTTGTAATCCAGAAATCAATCCTTGCCATGTTTTTGCAGTCATTCACAGACGTGCAGAACAACGATAAATTTGAGTTACCCACCATGCCTGTTCCCAGCTGAGGTGGAACCAGCAACACTCTGTCTTCTTGTTTCATCTCTCAGGCTGCGAACAAGTATCCCTTTTTTGCAGTCTATTCATTGCCACATTTTCTGCATTTTTGTGCTTTTGTTGGTTTTGCTGTTGACAATGGCCCCCAAGCATCATGCTGAAGTGTGCTGTCTAGTGTTGCTGAGGTTGAGAAGGCTGTGGTGGGCCGTAGGAAAGAATACATGTGTTAGATCAGCTTCCTTTCAGTGCAAGTTAGAGTGCTGTTGGCTGTGGAGTTCGATGTTACAGTATCAACAGTAGGTGTTAAGTAAGGTGTCATTGAATAGAGACATACATAAAACAAGGTTGTGTATTGAAGGGGTGATGAAAATATTGTGACCAGGGGTTCGCAGGCACCTAACCCTGTATTTCCCCAGGAACTGGAAGTGCTTCTAGTAGCATTGTATTCCCTCATTCAGCGTTCATGGCAACTTGAAAGAACCTAAATAGTGTAAATAATGAGAATCAAGTATAGTAAATAATTAGGAGCGGATGAGTTGTAAGTAATCATTACCTTTGTTTTTTTTTTTGTTTTTTTTTTGTTTTTTTTAGCTGAGCCATCCCGCCACCTGTTGGCAGCTCACGGCTGCTCAGCTCGGGCTGACTCGAACCACTGTTGCTCAGAGCTCAAACTCTTGAGCGAGCTCTTAACCAACTGAGCCACTCAGCCGGCCCTTACCTTTGTTTTTAATATAATTCTTTAATTGGAAGTGGGTAAAATTTAATTTTTCATGATGGCTTGTTCTAACAACTGACTTGCAACACTCCTGACATTCCAAGTCATCACCTCTCTGCGGCGGCATACCACCAGCAGCAAGGTAACAGTTGTGAACAAAGCTCTGCTTGACCCCAAAACCTGGTCTCTTGCTTTTTGAAGCTTCATATGGAACCCCTAAATAGAACAGAAGCATCTAGGGGAAATCGCTCACCAGGCTGTGTTGTAACTCGGGGCGCAAGACCGGCACTGTTCATGGGAAGACCACCTCCCTTCTCATCTTTCAGGACTTGGGAAGAATTTATGACAGAGTGTGCCCTACACCCTGCCAGGGCATAGGCAGCATCATTTAAATGACAAAGACCCTGTTACTTAGTATAAGCTAACAGAGACAAATGCTAACACAGTGAAGCAAAGCACCCAAGAAAATGAGACCAGCACCAAAAAGGAAAGAGATCATAAAAGCTAAAAGTAACCAGGCCACAAGTATGATATAAACTATATGCTTTCTTGTGTTCGTCCTCTTTTATATTTTACTTTTGCAGACCTCTGTAATCGGAGGACAGCGGGGATAAAAGTGAGTGTGCAGTGATAGGCCCGCGTGGGGATTTGTCAACTATTTTCAAATTCCACAACTTCTTGCTTGCTATTTTGACGCCATAACTAAAGCAAGTTGCAGTCACGTTTTGGGACTTTTACGACAACCCTAAACTTAATTATGGAGAAGCTGTTGAACCTGGAGTACTCCATGCCACGGAGTAACAGAAGACGGTGAGCGGAGGAGGAGGGGAAGGACATGATAGCCCTGGGAGAGTGCCAGCTAAGATCTTGAAGGGAAGTAGATTTGCAAGCCTTCCCCCCACCCTACCCCCAAAAACTGATTTTCAAAGTGTGGATATAAATACACAGCAAAATACCGGTCCTTTTTTTGTCATTCTTCACAGTGATTGTGACCCGTGTAATGCTGGTAGTCGGGTTCCTGTCAAGTGGCTAGTGGTTCCTGTAAGACCATTTACACCTCCCCAGGTTGAACAGGAATTAAAGCGCCTGAGAATTTAGAACATGAAAGAGCCTTGATAATCTCACACAGGAAGAAAATGAAATCGGAAGTGTTGAGATGACCTCCCCACACAGGCAGTGTGTGACCACATGGAGTGTCATAGTCTGTTCGGGGCTGCTATAGCAAAAAGACCATAAATGGGGCAGCTTATAAACAACCAGCATTCATTTCTCACAGTTCTTGAGGCTGGAAGTCCAGGACGAGGGTGCCAGCGTGGTTAGGTGTTGGTGAGAGAACCTCATCCGTGTCACAGATTTCTTGTATGCTCACCTGGTGGAAGGGACGGGAGCACTGTGGGTCCTCTTTTAAAAGGGCACGAATCCACTCGTGAGGGCTCCACCCTGGGACCTAAGCACCTCCTAGCGGCCCCACTCCTAATACCATCACCTTGGGTATAGGATTCCAACATAGGAGTTTAGGGGAGGGGAGCGCAAACATCCAGGCCATAGCATGAGACAGGGCCCCATCTCCTGACACCTGACCCCGTGTGTGTCCAACTCATGCTGCCTCTTTGTCCCCTGCACTTAAGGCCAGCTCTCCCACACCCTCTGCCATCTGTTCGTGGTGTGTGTACAATAGATAACAATTAGAGCACAAGGTATCGTAAGCCACGCTAATTATTAAAATTCTAGGGCTCTGGGAAGAACCGTGGACCTGGACAGTTCCCTGAACTCGGATCACCAGGGCGTCAGACCTGCCTCCAGCGATCAGACAGGTAACTGATTTCTACAGCTGTAGAGGGAGGTTGGAGGTTTCTGCTCAGCTCACCTCTCTGGGTAGGCTGAGTTCAAATGAATGAATAGTAACGTTCCTCGTAAATTGTAAATTGTGGCACAACTATAATTTGTGGCTCCTCTTAATCATTCCTTGTATCTTGCAGTTCCCTAACCCTGTTGCTACAGTGTAACCATGGTCATCTTTTGTTATACCTGCTGCTTCTCGGTGGCTTTTTAGGAAAACATAGTCAAAACAACAATCTCTTGCCTGTGCTCACCTGCCTTCTACAGGCAGGACACTGCTCGTAGGCATTAATGTTCGGGTAGGAGCCTGGTAGCCATATTTGTTTGCTACTGACCACAAAGGTAAATACCTTTGTAAAACTTTTTGTTCCTTATTTAGTTGCTTTCATAGGAAGATCACACGTTTGTACCTGCAGAACAGCGGTGCTCAAACCCAGAGGCACATCAGCATCACCTGGGGGGGGAGAGGGGAAAAAAAAAAAAAAAAAAGAATTGGTTCCCCCCCCCCAACACATCAGAATCAGAATCTGCAGGTGAAACCTGGCACTGGGACATTTTTAAAAACACTCCCCCAGCTGATTCTGGTCACAGGCTTGTAAACCACTGCTTTAGAAATCCTGAAGATGCTTTACAGTTGAGTAGCACCTCTCATTGGGAACCTCGAGGAAGGGTGGATTTCCCCCTTTGTTTCCAGGGTAGGTTAGGTGCGCAGCTGTAGATTTGCAGCTGGGAGGGGGATTGGCTGGGGGGTGGGGAGGAGCAACCATATTCAATAGCAGCCCCCCACGCTGAGGGGCATTGCCTGGCAGATGTGACCAGGGCTGTCCTCTGCTTTGTTCACACTGCCTGTTGAAGCCCGAATGTTGACACACCCTGGATTCTGTCCTGTGTCCTGTTCACGTGGTACGCATTCCCCTTGTGTCACACAGCACTGCCTGTGGACACCCAGGGATGTGTCTGCAGCTCAGATCCGCTGTTGAAATTCAGACTCGAGTTTCCAACTGCTGGACCTCCATCCACATGACCCTCAAAGTACCTCAAACCCAATTTGTCCCAAGATGGAATCATCAGATCTCATCCTGTGCATCTCTCTACCTCCTTCCCAGCCCAATTCTACTTTCCTTCTACACCTGCTACCCCAGCAAATAGCCTCACCATACACACTTTCCCCAGCCAATAGCCTCACCATACACATTTTCCTCAGCCAGAAACGTCAGGGTCACCCAACAAACCAATGTCAACCTTACCACCAAAATTCGGTCACCAAGTCCTATCAGCTCCACTGCTGTCAAAAAACAAGGTGGCTATGTCATGTATCTGACTGGCCAGGACTTTCTGAGCAAAGTTTACTGGCAACCTTAGACTAAGGATGAGTGAGTGGTAGCCATTTCTTGGGAGGCAGAGATAGTGGATTACTCCAGTGAGGTTTACAGGTTTATCTCCCTCAGAGCCATTCATTTGCCACTAATTTATCTTCATTTACATTCATGTTAATACAGAGGGAACTTTCTCTTCCCAGAGAGGATTTGTTTTAAAAGTTAGGGTTTTTCGGAGTGACCTGGTGGCTCAGTTGGTTAGAGTGCATGCTCTGAACTACAGGGTTGCCAGTTCGATTCCCACATGGGCCAGTGAGCTGCGCCCTCTGCAACTAGATTGAAGACAATGACTTGAGCTGAGCTGCCAGTGGGCGGCCGGATGGCTCAGTTGGTTAGAGCGCATGCTCTTAACAAGGTTGCTGGTTGAATAGTGGGCTGTGACCCCTGCAACTGAAAACGGTGACTGGCCTTGGAGCTGATCTGCGCACTCCACAACTAGATTGAAGGACAATGACTTGACTTGGAGCTGATGGGTCCTGAAAAAACACACTGTTACCCAATAAAATTTCTAAAAAAAAAAAAGCTATGGTTTCTCTCCCTCTCTAGAGGGCAGGATGGCAGCTGTGCAGTAGTACCTATGCTAGTTTCAAAATTCATAATTTGGAGGTTCCTCTCTTGTACCAAGGATGCCTATTATATGTGCAAAAGAATACCTGCCTTCGTTGTATGCCCTTGCATGTATGTACAAGGGACAAAATGGGGATAAAAGAAATAGTGTAAAGATACTTTGTAAGTAAAGATTGGTCTGTCTCTGATCTAGAAATCTTGTGTTTGCTATAGGGTAAAATAAATAAAGACTTACAGAAAGACTTACCAGATGCTAAATACCTCCTGGACCTGTCCCTTCTGTCCCCACCCCATTTCTAAGCCATACTGCTGTCACAACCCTCACTGTCTCTCACCTCAGCCTCACCATCCAAACCCACACACAAGTGTGATGTACCATCCAGTCATGTCACTGTTGACATTTGACAGTGTTCTTGAGATGCCAAACTCAAACTAGCATCAACTAAACAAGAGACCTCATAGTTAAGGGAGATTTGGGAGGCGGGTGAATCCAGGTGTGATATTGTGATTCATAAGAAATACATATTTTGTCTTCATCCCTGTTACTAGTGCAGAAAATGTGAACCTTTGGAATTTTCCTTAAGTGATGAGCGTTAATAAATGTGTCTTGATATTCATAACAAACCCCTTTCAGCCACACCAGAGTTTGTATCAATGAGGTGACTTTGGAAAACACCTAGGAATAGGGGTTGGTAGCCAGGGGAGGCAACTGTGTGATTAGAGGGTTGGAATTTTCGATCACACCTCATGACCTCAGGAGAGGGGAGGAGGCTGGAGGTTGAATCAGTAGATAGTGGCCAATGATTTAATCAATCATGCCTATGTAATGAAGCCCCCCACAAAAACCCCAAAGAAGGGGGTTTCAGAGAGATTCTGGATTGGTGACCGCATGGAGATTTGGGGAGAGTGGCGTGCCCAGAGAAAGCATAGAAGCTCCATGCCTTTCCCTATGCCTTGCCCTGTGCGTCTCTTCCAACCGCCTGTTCCTGAGTTACAGCCTTTTATATAATACTAAACCAGTGATCTAGTAAGTAAAATGTTTCTCTGAGTTCTGTGAGCCACTCTAGCAAATTTATGGAACCCAAGAAAGGGGTTTATAGCCTCTGATTTATAGCCATCTGTTCAGAGGCACAAGTGACTGCCTGGACTTCTGATTGGCATCTCAAGTGGGGGCAGCCTGTGGAACCAAGCCCTTAACCTGTGAGATCTCGTGCTGTTTCCAGGTAGATAGTGTCTGAATTGAGTTAGACTGGAAGACACCCAGCTGGTGTTGGAGAATTATTGCTTGGTGGTGTTGGAAAACCCACACAGTGGAAATGCTGTCAGAATTGTCCGAGGGAACCAAACTATAAAAGACAAAGTAATAATAACCCATGAAGGAGTCATGTTTACAGACTGCTTTCATAATGTGTTATGTTGTTTTGAGTCTCACAACTTCTCTGCCCTACCTATAGCTAAAGCCGGTGATGTTAATCCACTTTTGCACACAAAGACGCTGAAACTAAGTGTATTGCCCAAATCGTGGTAAAGACCAGAATTGAACGGAAACCCAGATGCTTTGCCCAGAAGTATGGTATTGTCCCCACTACCTCACAGAGATTAATTCCAGACATGGGAACAGCAGCTAACAGTGAGTACTCGGATGTTTCAAGCATATGTCTAAGCGCTTCCCGTGGATCAGCTTGTTTAACCCCCATCATAACCTGTGAGATCAGTACTTCAGTCACTTCACAGACAAGGAAACTAGAGAGGCAGAGTAACTGTCCTATGCTCTCTGCCACTCTGAAGTGCTTATGAAATAGTGTTATTTTCTTATGGAAAGCTACAAATTTTCTTTCCCAGAATGCTAACGATTTGATAAATAGTATAACATAATTATAAATTCCTTCAAGAAACATGGTGGTGATCATGGAGGCCCTAAGTGATCCTGTGAGCCTTAGGAAGATAACTTGATACCTACTCCCCAAGGTGGGATATATTCGAGTCCTATGATGTTCGTTGCCCCTTACAGGCCAGAGAAGTTAGGAAAGTAGGTTAATGTGAATTCAAATGCCCAGTAGTGAAAAATTCATGTTTGCTATCAGGAGACACACGAAAGGGGCATAAATGATGACGAATATAAAAGAACTACTTGGAAATAGAGAATAGCTCGAAAAAATTGTATTGGAGATCAATTACATTTTATGTTGAAAGAGGCCAGAAAGACTGGTTTTCTTTTTTTTTTGCGCGAGAGAAGAGGATTGGAGGTAAAAGAAAGCTGGACAGAGACGCATCTTCAGAGAAAGAATGACTCAGAGCAGAGATGATGCTTGGTGGTAGATCACTTGGAGGGCTTCATAGGAAAGACAGCTGGGTTTTCTTTGAGAGATGATTATTATTTTATAGTTCGCTCCTCTAGAGTCCTTATTGGGATGAGACAGAATATCGATAAATAGCCAAGGTGAACTGCAGTGAAGTTTTAAGCTCTGTGCATCAGCTGTCCTTTAATACGAACTAGAACTAGTCATTCCTTCCAGTCTATAAAGATCACCACACACTGTTTTAAACTTAACTTTCTCACTGAGCAAATAGAATACAGTTTAGATCTTCGAGAAAGTCTTATGGTTGGAAAAGACGTGCTTACTTCCAGAGACACATTTCCACAGTAGTGTGTGTGTGCACGCGCGTGTGTGTGCAGAGGGAAAGAGAGAATGTATGCAAGAGCTCAAACAAAAAAATCCCACTGGCTGATAAATGAATTTAGTAAAAAGTTATAAAAACCAAGTTACTGAGCCATGTTATTGACATTTTGTGTTTCCTCTCTATAAGATAGGTATTTTGGCAGATGAAAACTACGGTATTTGCTAAGTTTTCTCAAGAATTCTTCTTTTTTTTACATTTTTAAACATAGTACCAAAATGACATTTCTTTTCATGTGTTGAAAGACATTCCTCTATTTTGGCCAATAATTCCTTCTTCTTTAGGAATGATGCCCAATAAACAGGGTGGAGTCCAATAGTCATAGCGCTACGATCAAAGTAGAGTGATTGGTCCACACCCACAGTGATTGATCCAGATAGGGACCAATCAGAGTTCTCCTATGTCTTTTTTTTTTTTAACTTGAACTAGGAAAAGTAGGGCTAGTGGTAGAACTACAGTATATTAAATTCTGATGTTATTAGTCATATTCTTTTTATTATTTGAGCCACCTCAATTAATTTCCAATGAAGTCACCATTTTGCCTAAGGCAGTCAGGCCACAATAAGAAAGAATGAACTTGACACAGAGAAGAGCTGAGAGGGGAGTCCGGCTATGTTCAAGACTGATTCTGGTTGATTCCAAAGCTCAACTGTATCACTGTCATTCCCATAATTTTATTATTCATCCCCTTCCTTCTATGATTTAAAATGTTCCCAAAACCCTTCCAGGAAATTCCTCTTTGTTTTTAGCTAGGTCAAGCTTCTTTGTCACTACTATCTCATAGAACCCAGAAATAACACATCCTAGAGGCCAGATATAGCCCAATAAACTGAGAGGTTCTGCTCCTGGTTAAAAGCCAGTGTGTGATTTTTTTCAGGTCCAACCATAGGCAATTACAAAGCTTTACCCAGCAGGCCTCACGGAGATGCTGACTTCCCCACGCCAGACTTGATACCTTTCCCTCTGCTCCTCAGTCCATGAAATGGCCAGACCCTCTGCAATATGATGACCTTCGAGTCAGTGCCAATCCATTGACCTTCTCCTGGTGCCGTTTCATGGAACATTCAATGGAACATGGCAGGAGCTGGCCGTTTTTCCTGTTCAGCCTCTTCCTTATACTGTCACAGTAGGTGATAAAAGACTTCATTGTTACTTGCAGTTTGGCTTGTGGTCTTAATTGAGCACCTCCACACCTGGCAGCTCAGCCCTTGAAATAACCTAGTCAGTGAAAATGGGATCTCTATTTGCATTAAATTATGCAGACACATTACAACTCAGGCCTTTGAAGGCATGCTGGTGCTTGAAAATGTAAATAAACTGGAATATATACTTCCAGAAGTTTTTAACTTGACCTGCATGGAAATATGCAAAAATTTTCATCATAAAGTCCTGCATAACTCATACTACCCAATTATTACACTCATAAGTCATCACGATAACAATTATTAATCCCCATGACAAAGCAACAAATTCTTATGTTGCTTGATAGATGCTCTCTATTCCATAAATGAAAACAAAAGATGAGAACTAACTTCCCTTGCCGCTGAAGTATAGTATTGTCCCATGATGGATACAGAAAAGATCCATAAGAATCATGAATTTTATGAATGGTAATCAAAATCATTCTCCAACTCCATTCACAAAAAAACATATTCTCTACTTTTCATATTAAGAACGGAATGAGAACAGATTTCCTTCAAAGCGAAGATACAGAAATTGATTAACAAAGTATTTAAATTGATTTACTTGTCTTTTAAGTCCCATGTTTTTATTGATTTAATTGCCTTTTTAATTAGTTTTTTAAATCTTCTCTTCCTCCCTTTTTTTCTTAACTCAGCTTCTTTATTTCTTTTAAGCCCTGCATCAAGCCTTCTACACACCTTGGCGGATACATCCATGAACTTGCATGGAGACAGATCTGTTTATGACTAATTTTATGATTGCCTGTTGCCTTAACACACACCCATAAAATAAGCCCAAAGAACAGAAAATAAATATACCTCCACCTCACCTGACCCAAGCTTTTATGTCAGTGTCAATCACGGCTGCCATCTTAGGAACAGGTGCCTTTTCGGCTGATACCAATCCCAGTATACCTAACCAAAATCGAAAGGTAAAGTAGATAAGGGCTAAGATGATAAGGGGAGAGCCTGGAAGGTCCAAGGAGGAAGTGAGACCTGCACTCAGTTTAGAAAGTCAAAAGACAGAGTTTCCAGAGAAAAGAGAGGAGGCAACAGAAACAGGCCAGGAGGAGGCTGGCTTTCAATCTGTTTGCCAGGATCCAGCTCTAGATTCCCAAGTTGCATTTTGTTGGACGCTTTTTGTTTGTGCCTAAGACTCTAGATAGATACACCTGGAAGATGTAGAGCTGAACTGACCACCTCATAACATTTTGAATTTTTCAGCTGTACTTTAATTATTGATTTTAATTGAATAAAACAACTTTAATCCTACCATTTGTGACAACACAGATGGACCTTGAGGGCATCATGCTAAATAAAATCACCCAGACAGAGAAAGACAAATACTGCATGGTATCACTTATATGTGGGATCTAAAAAAAAAGAAAAAGAAAAAAAAAGAAAGTGTCAAGCTCATAAAAACGGGGAGTAGAAAAATAGTAGTTGCCAGGGATGGGGGGACTAGAGGTTGGTAAACGGGTACAAACTTTCAGCTATAAGATGAATAAGGTCTGAGAATCTAGGAAGTATGGTTATAGTTGATAACACTGTATTATATAATTGAAATATACTAAGAGAGTAAAACGTAAATGTTCTCACAAAAAAAAAAAGAAAAAGAGGGATGGGTGTGTTAATCACCTAAATGATAGGAATCCTTTCACAAAAAAAGTTTTAGCTTTATCCTTGGGGACATTAGCTGTCGGATGATGGCATCTATGGTAAGTCAGAATCCCTCGGTTTTCAGGAATACCATAGTCACAATAACTTTTTTGATTTGAGAATAACCTTTGGAATAATTAGAAAAATGTCTCAGTATGACTCAATATCTTTTCTCCCTCTGTCCTCTGAGGCCTATAACATTGACCTGCCCTAGGAATTGAGGATTCCAGAAACCCTTGGTGGATTAGGTCAGCACATTCTCAGTGAGATTACTCACTAGTATGATTATCCGTTATCTGTTTCCTTGGATAAAGTCACTTCTGATTGTTTCAATGTGTGACTGCAGATGAAATCATATCACTGCACTTCCGTCCTTTCTTCATAGCTAGTATGCTGATAACAGAGATAAATAACAGGGTGATGACCCTATCTGACTCCCCACTTCCAAGTGTAATCAGCCCCACTATAGTTTTGAAGTTCTTTAAAATGGATGTGAATAGGAAATTTCCATTCTTGCTCCAGGTTGTGGGACTCCTGACCAGTCCAAGGACCCACAAGTCCTTTAGCTGCAGCAGTGGCTTCTGGGGAAGGTGCTCCTGTCACTTTACCCATAAAAACTTATGTGATTAGACCCAGAGGAGCAGGCTCCTTCCTACGGAAGGCAGAGCGCCCACCCTAGGTTCTCCTAAGAACTTACAAGTTTGCTGAGGACACAAATACACATATTTTAGATGTTAATTAACTGTGTAACTAGACAGGCTGTAAGTAAGACTTCTATATATGAAAGTGTCCCACCTGGAGGGTGACTGAATTTAGGCTAATTTACATGGGAAAACTAAAGGAAAAGAGCAATACAGGTTTCAGGAATGGAAGCCCTGGACCCCTCGAAGATTAGGGGTGTGCTTAATAGGTACAGTCAACAGGCTTCTCCCTTAGAACTGTCCGAGATCTTACAGTCATGATCAGAATGAACATCTTTGAAAGACAAATTATGACCATTGTAGGAAATGATGCTGTGGGATTATTTAACATGGAATATCAGCTGCCTGTAATGAGGTATGACGATTAAGTTTGCAAACTTGTTGCTACGGTGTTGCTAACAACCTTTTTTTGATATCAGAGGGATTATTTACTATGAATTTGTACCAACTGGACAAACAGTTAACCAAGTTTACTATTTGGAAGTGCTGAAAAGGCTGTGTGAAAAAGTTAGACGACCTGAACTTTTCACCAACAATTCATAGCTCTTGCATCGCGACAATGTACCAGTTCACACGGTACTGTCTGTGAGGGAGATTTTAGCCAGTAAACAAATAACTGTATTGGAACACCCTCCTTACTCACCCGATCTGGCTGGCCCCCAATTACTTCTTTTTTTACCCAAAGATAAAGGCAATATTGAAAGGAAGACATTTTGATGACGTTCAGGACATCAAGGGTAATACAGTGACAGCTCTGATGGCCATTCCAGAAAAAGAGTTCCAAAATTGCTTTGAAGGGCGGACTAGGCGCTTGCGTCAGTGCATAGTTTCCCAAGGGGAGTACTTCAAAGGTGACCATAGTGATATTCAGCAATGAGGTATGTAGCATTTTTTTCTAGGATGAGTTCGCAGACGATTGGATGACCTCGTATGTGGCAGCACAGAGGAGGGACGCCTCTTGCTAAATGATGTGGAGGCCACAAGGGGCAGTGTGCACAGACCTCATGGGGTCCAGCACAGATTAACCTACAGACTTCTGTTTTGACTCTCTTAAGAATGAGTTCATTGTCACAGAAATGTCTAACCACTAGACTGTACACTGGAAACTAATATAATATTGAATGTCAGCTGTAATTTTAAAAAGAAAAAAAAAGAATGAGTTCATTTTGTGAAGAATGCTTTGAATGAATCAGCAAGAGAAAGGACTTCGCCAGAAGTTGATGTCTGTATGGGTAGCAGTGATGGGTGTGCAGAACTTACAAAGGAAACATCTGGAAACTGGTCCCACAGCTCTTAGCCCACTTATTAAAGAGAGAGGGGGAGCATTTTTGAGGATTTCTTTAGACAAAACGGTGCCGTGAACTCCAGCCACCTGCACCCCTGCCCAGGGCCAAACCCTGGGGAAAGGCAGAAACATCTGTGAAGAAAAAGGCTGGAGTCAGAAGGAGAGGTGCTGGCCATGACCTTCCTCTCTGACCACGTATTCTTTTTTTTTAAGATTTTTATTGGGGAATTGGGATGGGAACAGTGCTGGGAATTGGGGGCAGGGGAACAGACAAGTTGCTGTCCTTTCGTTCTTCAGTCTAGTTGTGGAGGACATTGCTTCACTGGCCCAAGTTGGCACCATCATCGCGCTCTTCCCAGGCGAGGCACATCAGTCG